TGTGGTGTGTGTTGAGTTGGACACTACAGCCTTGCAGGGGTGGGGTCGATATCATGACCGGTACGATTCCACTTTTGAACACCATGTCCTGGCTGCAGTGGTTAAGAGACTTGGCTCTTGAGACCAAGGGCGCCGGTTCGAGTGTGTGCATGCACAGAGGAGGGCTTAAGCCCAGACGTACGGAATCTGGAATCCATACTACCCCTAAAGACAATTATGTGCTACTTTTTTTTTTTAATAATAAAATATGATCTTGTGGGCCTGGTTGGTACTTAGTACTTCCGCAGGCCATTTTTGGGGGTTTGTGAACTCCAACTCCACTTTTCTCAAGCTTTATTTTGTTTTTGTTTTTTTTTTAATTATTATTATTTTTTAAAACACCCCCACCAGTGTTAGTGCTGCTGGTAAGAGCAGACACCACTAACACCTGGGGAGAGGCTCCATCTATTAGTGGGGAGCGTCACCTTCTGGAAAACGGGTCCAGTGTCCCTTGAAAGAAAAACATCTTGAGAAGGTGAGAACAGCGACTTGTGAGATCTGCCAGCATTGATTACCCTGCACAACAGGGGATTGACTGAGCAGACCCTATGAGAATAGTGGCTATGGAGTCTGCCAGCATTGATTGCCCTGAAACCCAGGGGATTGACTGAGCAGATCCTGTGTAATATCCAGTAAAGTAGCCTTGTGTAAGCATGCAGGGCATCCAAGACCTGCACTTTTCTCCAGCTACTCCTACAGACAATTATGAGGTGCTCACTGCTTAATATTTACTCAGGGTAATGTGCTTTTTTTAAAAAAGGAGCAACATTTATAAAGTTGTGCCAGGAACCGGGCCCTGCGTCCCTCACAAAGTTCGCTGCAGCTCTAAGGCTGAGCAAGGCTCTCCGGCGAAGCAAAGCCCAGGCCACGACTGTGGCAATATTTTACTCCTTATTCTCTTCTCAATCCAATCCCTCCACTAACTAACAATAATGTGCAATTTGATTTGTGTGTGCCTATGTGCTTTATACGTTGCGTGATCAGGGGTGGAGGGAGAAGAGCAAGAGAGCAAAGAGTCGTCGCAAGACGTCAACAGATTTTGGACCACCTGACAAGCATGGCCAACCGTCTCCTTGCAGAGACTACTACGAAGCAGAAGAGTCGGCTATCGATACTCGCCACCCCCAAAAAGAGTATGCTTGAGATGCTTGCCAGCGCTATGCTGCAGCGTGACCTAAATAATTAGGATGGACCGTACACAGACACACCATTATGTGTGTGTGCATGTGTTGTGAACTGTCATCGCAGCAACCCCTTTTCCACCCACATGAGTAGATCCAGATCTGAAACAGCTTTACCTACTCTTCCTGAGGCTCCCCACCAATAGATTGGAGCAAAAAAAAAAAAAAAAAACTCTTCTTGAAATGTTCCAAGTCTGACGCGCCTTTTCCTTGTGCAGTCCTTTCTTTGCTTTCCTTACGTTGGCTTCTTTTGGTTTTTTTCTTTTATTTCTTTGTGACAATGTGTGTGCATGTTTGTGTGTGTGTGTGTGTAGGGGTGTGTGTATGTATGTGTATGTGTCTCGGGTTGTGTGTGAGAGACAGACAGACAGATAGATATAGATATATTCAAAATTTAATATTTAACTATATGTACTTGGGTTCAGGGATCAACCAAATAGAGTACCCGCTAAGTGTACCAAATGAAGACTATCCTTCGTCGGACTGAGAACCAGCCTTAAGCCGCCAGTTCCTTTCCCATGCGTTGGCCGTGGGCCCTGCGCGCAAACGATTCGGGATGAATCTGGCTCCCGAGCGAGGCCAGCGCCAGCCTGCGTGTTAACGGCGGGCTTTTTTTTTTTGGCTGGGAAACGTAGTGGCAGTTTTAAATGTACTAGCCAGGACTAAGCCATCCTAAGAAAGATTATGGGTCCATGCCTACTCTGCTCTGTGCGGGGGACCAGTACCCAGGCTCCTAACACCTGGCGCGGGCTGGAAAGTCAAACACAAACATCCACCACCAGCCAGGAGAGACAAGGCGACTTTCTCAGCCGATGAACCAGAAGTATGCCCCAGGGGGTTGTGGGGAATTGAATCCACGACCTGCTGTGTACCACTTACGTGCTCAACCAACTGATTAGGCCACTTGGCCCGGGGTAGAGCTCAGATATTGTAACTTGGAGGTCCCGGGTTCAACTCCAAACGCATAACACATAACGCATAGCTGATAACCGACTGGCGGAGGGTGCAGGGGGGGATGGGCTGGAGGTTTTCCTGGCAGGAATCGGCCCTGTGGCGAACTGGTGTGATGGTTACAGACCGATAACCCTAACCCCTCGATATGACAAACAGATAACACATAACTCATAGCTGATAACCAACTGCGGGGGGTGCAGTGGGGGATGGGCTGGAGGTTTTCCCTGGCAGGAATCGGCCCTGTGGCAAACTGGTGCGATGGTTACGGACAGATAACCCTGCCCCCTTGATATGACACTAGCACGGGTGGAAAATGACCCAACGCTAACACAATCTATAACTGATAGGCAACTGGGGTGCAAAGGGGGATGGAATCGACCCTGTTGTGAGCTGGTGCAACGGTTACGGACCGACAACCTTGCCCCCTCAATATGAACTGGATAACTAACTGTCCATGACGACAACACAAAAACCCCTATTAATACAAGGCAACAGCAGGTTGTGCTAGGAACATGTCGCCCGGTTTGGGTCAGGGGGCTGCCTTAGGTAAGACCTTGGTCAGGGTAGGAGCACTAGACACTGCCTGTGGTAGATCCGTGGAATGTTCGCTGTCTGACCAACCCAGGGCTGGTGCTCATAAGGAAAGTGCATAGGACAATCATGCTCGGCGACCGAAGTGCCCATACGACAAGGCTCGTCTGATAGTGCTTCAACTAGGGCTGGGAGGGGTTGTCCTGGCCTAGCGCTTGCTGTCCGATATACCTGAGGTAAGGGTCAACAGTGCCCCCCGTAGATGGAGAAGCAGGGGTTACGCTAAGGAAGAAGAACGTTGAGGTAGGAATGGGGTGTTGCCGCCACAAGCTGCCATGTGGTCACCCTTTATGACCAATATGTTTATAACAACTCGCTTGCCAATGTTAATGGCGGCATGGAGGATGAGATGCTCCCACGAATATAAACAGCACACATTTGGATACATAGAGGCAAAAACAACATAGTAGAGACGATCTCCACAAACACACACGCGACATGGAAGGAGCTCAAACAAATGCTGGCAAAAGAACCAGAAGAGACCAATCGAAATGAGCTGGCAGCAAACTTCCGTGCAGTATGGTGGACAATGCAGAGAGACTCTGCGAACTGGACCATCACAACAACTGAAGATGGAAGCCCTGGCTGGCAACGTCTACCAGGTCACCACTTCGTCTTCACCTTTCAACCAACCAACTTCATCCTGGCCTAGGACCTCACCACCCTTACCTTAACATTGCAGTCGCCCCGCCCCCCCACCCCCCTCCCCTCTTTCTCCACCCTTCTTCTCCCCCTAGCTCCCTTTCCTCCTCCCTCCTCCATCATCCTCCTTCCTCCCTCCATCCTCCCTCCTTCCTCCTCATTGCTGATGCTGCCCCCTCCACCCTCCTCCCACACAAGCTGGATGCCGGCCAAGCATGGACTCCCCTCCCGGATTTGAAGTAGTTCTACTGGGAATCAAGAGGGACAGCAGCAGGATCCGGTCACGCGGAGACATCAAGCGCATTGGGGGAAGTAAAGGGAAAAGAAGCTGGCGAATACCTGTTACACAGCCAAGAGACAGCCAAATGCACAGGAATGCACTACAGTGTGCTCCCCAGTACAATACAGCATGCACTGGATTATTGGGAGGGTGGGCACAGGGGGGCCGTTGGGGCTGTAGCCTCAGGCCCCCAAGTTTCTAAATAAAGAACACAAAGGACATGGGACTGAGTTAGTAACAGCGGGAGTCTGGGGGGTTGGGATCTGACGGTTGCAGGGTTGGTGGGGATAGGTGGGAAAAGGTGGTAACTAAGGCAGATCCACATAACCATGCCAACACCTTACTGCACAGTGACACAGCACCGCACAAGAATGTAGTCCAAGTTATGGCAGGCAAAAGGAGAAATGACGGACAACAGGGTCTAAGGGTTTAAGGGTTTAAGGGTTTAAGGGGTTAGGGGTCTAAGGGTTAGGGACTTATGGGTGTAAGGGGTTAAGGGTTGAAAGAGTCCTGCCATAACCCTTGGGCTCATGGCCCGCATAATTGAGCTGGATAGAATTACTCCACTGAAAAATTTATCTGACAGACAGTTATGCATGGACCGTAGGAAACACAGTTAGGAACACTCTTAACCACACCTTATATAACACACCGCGATATGAGGCATGAAACACACGCAGGAGTACCCGCAACATACACAGACACAACAAGTATATGGCAACAACAAGATAAATAGTACATAAACTGCAAAACACACGTAGGAGTACCCGCAATAGACAGAGACACAACGACATATGGCAATGACAAGATAGATAATACATAAACTCTAAGTGACTTTCAACTGGTTAGGATAACGGCATCATAAGTGATAATTCACGGAATAATCCATTACAAAAGGAGTGATAAGGCGCTGGGACACTCAATCCCCAGCTCTTCAGGCATACTAACAAACCATGCTTATACTATCGTTGTTTTTGACATTGTATTATACAGGGACACTGGACCCGATTTCCAGCAGGTGCTGCTCCCCACCAATAGATGGAGCCTCCCTGACGATACTAGTGGTGTCTGCTCCTATCAGCACCCCTAGTAGATGATCGGGAAAAAAAAAAAAAAAAAAAAAGAAAGGAATGGGGTGGGTCCTGTGAGCACAAATTAAAAAAAAAAACAAAAAAAAAACAGTTGATGGCCCTCTACAGACTGCTGAGTCAGTGCTGACCAGTCCGCCTATGGGTCGGCCCGACCGGCAGGCAAGCCGACGGCCTACGGTAGGCGTCGGCAGTAGGCGTTCTGACAACCCTGCTAGGGCCCATATTTTTTTATCACTTAGGGGGAGTCCCACTCCCAAAGAGGATTTGGATTAAGCTCCTGAATCTGGACAAGTTTTATGCAGAGATGCAGAAATGCAGTTCAATCCCGATTTTCTGCGCCTCTCCACAAAACCGTCCAGATTCAGGCATTCAGGGCCTCGTTAGACACTCCTTGGGGACGTGAGATCCACAAGGACGCGCTCGTTCCACCTGTCCTTGGGACGAAATTGAAAAAGAAATGTGAAAACGCCACGAGGAGAATTCCTTGTGGCATCCTTGTGGCCCCAGCCATTTCTTCCTTGTGCCCAAGGGACCTCGTGAGGTCCCTTGGGCACAAGGAATCCGAGTTTCACGGAGAGGAGAGGGCACACGGGTAGACAGACGTTACAGCTGAGAATCTGGATCGTGGCGGCACCCTATTGGCTGAAGGCCTGCAGCACAACTGTTTTTTTTTTTTCTTTTCTTTTCTTTTTCTGACATCAGGCTTAGGAAATGTCCTCGGGCGACGTCCCCCAGGACAGGTGGAACGAAGAGCCCAAATTCCCTTACGAGCCACAAGGAAAATTCCTTGTGGCGCAAGGAAATCGTAAGGAGTGTCTAACGAGGCCCTCAGTCCAATCCTCTTTGCTGGAGGGACCTCGCCCCTACTGCCTGGTGTTGTTCTGAGAAGCTGCTGCCATACACGTGGTAACCAACCGGATGTGTGGACCGGGTTCCAGACAGTCCGGAACAACACGTCCGGGTCTGGTGTCCGGTCCATGATGTCTGGATGGAGGCCCCCAGGGCAAAATTTGGAAAACAAAAAGGGGCAGCCCAGGACGTTTTTCGGGTACTGGCCGCACACAAGACACTGCAGATTTTTGGGGTGGCGGGTTTCACACAGGCCCCAGCAATTTCAAAGCGGCCGTTTTGACGTGCTGCCCGCTGCCGCTGCTCGTTGGAGAGAGAGAGAGAGAGAGAGAGAGAGAGAGAGAGAGAGAGAGAGAGAGCACTGACAGTGCTGCCAGCCTGAAGACTCCGACGTTCTGAATTGAATTACAAAGTTCAAACTTTCTTTTCTTTTCTTTTTTCCTTTTCTTTTTTTTTTTAATAAAAAGCCCTGGTTTTTGTAGAGGCTGGATTACAGACATATGAGAGTCACCTTCAGCACTCGGCCATGTGGTAGAGCCCCCCTAATCCCTATAGGACTCCCTCCCAACCTACCTCTTTCGTAATTTCTCCCCGTGCACTCCTACTCCCACGATCCTACCTCAGTGTCTACCACTCAGGATCGTCACCCTCCAGCCTTGGGGGTGACCTGACCAA